TTATTTGCTCTATCACACTCGAATTTAGCCTTGTATTAAAAATTTATAAAAAATAAATCAATAATTTCAATAGATTAAAGGAACTAACATAAAAAATAGTTAAAATGTTAAGTTAATTCTAACCTTAAATCTTGTAGAGTATGCATTGACATGAGGTTTCCAATTAGGATGTTTGGAAACCTGGCTTCTTTGAAACAATGAAATTTTCATTGACGATTTAAACATCAATGTTATTACTTGGGTTGCCTTAATGTTTGTGAACCTGAAAATAGATAAAATTAATGAAATATTAGTTGGTCATAAATTGTTAAACACAAACCAACTCAAAGGAAGAAAAAAAAAATTATATTGAAAAGTAGTCCTTCCAATGAGCCTCGTATTTGCAAGTGAATGGATCCTGTTATGAAGGGACATCGACTCTATATTATGGAACTACACTCGAAGAGGCAGCATTGTGAGTTGACACAGGTGCCTCTTCTTGGTCGGCACCTAATGACATAATGTTGTCATCATTACTGCAAGAAGAACTAGCTGTGATCATGTGCTCACGATATGTAGTTGATTTTTCCCTATGCATCTACACAAATTTGATGAATATTTGCATAATCAATTTTGTTTTTTTAAAAAACAATACGACAACACCTCCCCTATATTGGAGATTACATAAAATTTTCAATCTTGCAAATATACAAAATATATTCTACAGACCAATTGATTTTATTTTATTTCAACCAATAATTTTGAATTATTCAATTTCATCTAATTTTCAACGTGATAATGTTTTTAATCCTAAATTGACAAGAATTTTTTGTAATTAAATTTAATCCTATATATTCAAATGAAACAAGAATTTTTGTAATTAAATTTAATCCTATATATTCAATTTATATTTATACTATAAATTTGACAATAACAATTAAAATTCAACAAAACAATAAAACATTATTACAATGTAGACAAAAAAAAAAATTTAATCATTTATATTCAATTAACATTTATACTACAAATTTAACAATAACAATTAAAATTTAATAAAACAATAAAATATTATTGCAATGTAGACAATAAAATAGATGAAAAAAAAAACAAATATAGGCTTTAGAAATGAAAAATACTTACCTTAATGAAGTGTTTTCTTTTAGATTTTATCTATGTGTGATACAATCAATATATATATATATATATATTGTAATAAACCAAAGAAAGAAGAAAAATAAAAAGAAAATAAGTCAAAAGATTCACCACATATACCTATTAATTGTGTTGAGAGAAAAAATACCTTTAATTCTACTACATATAAATACAATTGAGGTGTGGGAGCAATTGTGAAAATGAGATCAAAAAAATAAACTTCTAGCATCACTAGTGGGTTTTGTACTGCATTTTTATTGAGAGAATCACTGATAAAATATTTTTTATTATTATTTTTTATTTCATACTAAAATTTTCAAAAAAAACCCTTTAGATTTCTCAAGGTCCATCCATAATTCCATCAATAAAAATATAAATAGTATACATAGTCAGAGATGCATTAATTACAAGCGTGTTAGAATTTGTGGTTTGTCCGTAATTCCCTTAAGAACGTGCCACACACTCAGTGGACTTTAATTGCCATCACCAACATAAGAAGGAGAACAATTCTCTTTACCTCTAGAATATACCAATAAGCACAAACTGTTGGTGTTTTCATTAGTGATCGAAATTGTGAATGACAGATTATATCTGTATTTCTTATCTATCCATCCTACAAATACTAAAATTAAATGTTGCACACACAACACAATAACACTAAGTCACATAACAATTATAAAATAAATACTTATTTATTGAGAATTCCATCAATAATTATTACATTATAGTTTATTGCATTACACTTTCGTGTTTTGATAATTAGTCATAATTGTCTTCTTCTTCTTCAATTGACTTGTTGTTAGACCCATCGCAATCTTCTATGGTGATATCATTGTTATCATCATCTTTATCTACTCGTGCTTGTTCACTACAACTTATAACAACATTCAACTCAGTGTCAACATCAATAAAAATATTATCGAAGGTGTGAAAATTTAAAAATCATTGATAATCCATATCAAAAGTTGCCCTTATAAGAAAATTTTGTTTTGTTGATATATCATAAGTTAAAGCCTTGGAAGATCATAATTGTGTCAACTCATCAATCAAGGATTTAAAACAAACATCTATATTCCAGCCCGAACTATTAGGATCAGGTATGATCATAGATAAAATATGAATTTCGGCCTCATACACATCCCTGGTGGCAAGTTGTAAACCGTGAGTATAACTGGCCAATAAAAACAAGGAGTAGAAAATGATCTGAATGGATTGAATCTATCTATATATAACCTAAAGCGCATGTTCTTTGATTCAATTGAAAAGTAAGGGTGCACAAAGTGTTTCCATGCTTCATTGTTGGAGTGATGCACGATCTTTCCATCCACCACATCATGTGATTGGTGTCATGTTATGTGCTTACCTGTCTTTGGTGACATGAATAACCTCCGTAATTTAGGTGTGATTAAGAAGTATCTAAGTTTTTATATGTGCTACAAGAGTCTTTTTTCTGTCTATTTTGGGTTTATAACAGGAATGCCCATATGTTCTGGACTCGATCAACTCAGCATTTTCAAGGTAGTACAACATTTAGAAGTTTAGGCACATGTTAATTTTTTAGAATTTTAGACCAAGAGGTTTCATTATGGACTTAGCAGTATAAAAGTTCTCTTTCAACTTGTTCCTTTCAGGTAAAAATTTTTTCCCTCATTTGATAATTATGTCATAACTGACCTTATTCAACTCATAAATCGACTTGATGGTAAACACCTGTATAACGACCAATAATTTACTGTGATTTGTGCAGTCATCCCATATGGTTCTTCTGAATCTTTCAAAAGATAAAAAAAACTGGTCCTGTCTGCATTAGATTATTCATCTATGATTGGACATTGATTGGTATGACCCTGATTCATTCTCATCGCATCCATAACCATAGTCATGTAAGGATTACTATTGTCATTTACAACTTCATACATGTTGCTAGCATTAGAAGTTAACCCAATCATCCTTTCTATCATGGTCTCGTGAGGAATAAATGGTTCTCAATGTGCATACCAACACAAGTATTCCTTTATGAACCCTTTATGCAAAAGATGCACTAGTAGAGATCAAGAATCTTTTTTATTTTTACATCTCTTGCATAGACACGTAATACCATCTCCACTAATATTTCTCGAAATAGATGTTGTGTAATTAATAAAACCCTGACCCCATTACAATAATCTATCATCTACAATCCTTGGAGTAAATCTTGATACATCTATAAACAATCATCTATGACTAATTCTATCAAACCTATATCAAATAATGATGACAACATGTATTAATTAATTATATTAAGTACATAAATTTGCAAAAACATTGGTTTAGCTCAAGATTATCCAATGTATTTTCATACTTCTCTTAATTTATTATTAATTATCTACGCACATGTAAATTTACACACATTAATTTATGAAAATTACAACTCGGTAATAAAATTAACAAAATATAAAACATACTCATTAAACAAACAATTAGTTATTTCATCTCAACACACCTAAGTTAGTAATTGGACATACGTTTCAATAATTTATAAACAAATATAATTTTACAAAATTTAAAATAAACTATAACACGTACAAAATCATAAATCTATACAACAAGTTTGTTTGAGAAAAACAATAAAATAATTAAAAACTCATACAAAATACATATACTACTAAAGTATATAATAAAAAAATTAACATTTAAAAATTATATTTAAATAAAAAATAATAAATTTCCTTACTTAAAATAAAAATTCACGATAAAACACAGATGTTATGATTAGAAAAGTTGAAGAATGATGGGTTATATGGAGATGAAAAGGGATGTAGGGGGCTATGAGATGAAGAAATAAGGAATGAGAGAATCGATGAAGATGTTGATTATAAGTATAATTTTGGATGTGGAGGTGAAAATTAAAAAAAAAAATTATAATCAATATTGATTATTTATTTAACAAGAAAACTAATTCACAACGAGAGTTGTTGGATAGATTTTTAAAGATATAAAACTTAGATAATGGAAATTGCTATCGTAATTGATGTGGAAATGCACTTCCCTGACCCTTTAGACTTCTTTGCCATGTTTAAGCTACAAACCACATCTTTTTTACTTACTCTTGTGTCTTAGTCCACACTAATTAACCTTTTCATTAATTTCTCTGTCTACCCAAAAAAAATAAACATTTTCGAGTGGCCACGTTTACTGACTCAATGAGGTAAGTAGGAAGATAAATATCAATTCTTTCTGCCTTTTTGTCAAAGATAGTTGGCAAAATGACACTAGAAAATGTTGTTACCAAGGACCCACTAGTGGTGACTATATTTCAGATAACATTTGAAGACCAGTGCATGACAAAGTCAGTCAGCTTCGATGTTTCTACAATACCCACTTTCAGTTTTTCTATTATACTTTGACCAGTGACGAATGACCACTCATTGCATGAGGCCATCATTACAACATATTGTTGTTTCATGGAAGAATACAAAATGAATCAATACGATGATCCATGAGACTGTTAAATTACTATTATATATATGAAGTGTTTCTTTTATATGATGTTGCTGGTTAATTTAGACCTAAACACATGATATTTTGTGTCGTCCAACAGTAATGGTCATATTCTTCAATGTCTAGTCCATCGTTAATTAGCTCTTCAAATAATTAACTCTTTGCATTTGCGTTTTTCAGCACAAATAGACTTGTGCTGATTGACTTGTTCATTGATCCAGCTCACCACTCTAGACTCCATATATCACCTGTACTGGCTTCAACTTTGCAAGAGGCTATTGATGGCAATCTTCAGGATCCCATTTCTGTAGTAATAGTAACCACGCATGATCGTTTTTTTATTTATTTTGAATATGATCTAGGTTTTTTGTCAAGGATTATTTTTCATTAGAGACAAAAAAAATAATTTAATTTCATGTCTTCAAAGCCTTATAACGTTTGCGCTGTTTCAATAGTGTCCTCTACTTAGTTCACACTTTCCTCAAATTCCCACACGCAAAAGAATAAGAGGCTAAAAAATAGGGGGAAAGGAGAAATATAAAAGGAATGATCCCTTTGGAAATAGGTAGCTCTTGGAATATCATTTGCGTCGCCTTTAAAGCTCTTTCCGAAAGGCACCTTTAGCTTGCTTAGATTTAGGTTTGAACTTCCAGCATAATCATACCATGATCACACTAAACCTAGAAAAAACAAAACGTATCCTTTTAGCTAGAGAATATATAGATCAGCAAGGGGAAAAAACAAAGGAGAGATTGCATTTGAAATTATCATTACAAATAAAACTAAGAATGAAAGAAAGAAGGATCACATCCAAGAAATTTAATACTTAATTTTTCTTTAACAAGGAAAAATCTAAATAAATTAACTTCCTTTGCACTACTCAAATCAATTTACATTTTGATTCCCGCGTAAAAAACGGGCTAAGCTATAAAATACTAAAACAAAGATCAAGATCTTAAACCTGTTCATCACTTTGGCAATTGCAAGAAACTGGGTCGGCCAAATAAGTAGGGTTATCATCACCAGCCATGATGACAACAATCTTCGGCTCCATTTCTGCTCTCATCTCAACTTGTTTAACAGATTTCTCTTGAGCCTCAGGATCACTAGACGAACTCGAAGATGATTTTCTATAAGAGCAAGCTAGAATTATCAATGACACAGCAATGAGTGCTAACATTAAAGCTAGACTAGCAAAGAGGTAAGGGATTGGAGAATTCCCATCTTGATATCCTGCATGTACAGCAGGTGCAGTAGAGTTGCTTGCAGGCCTCATTAATTTCTCTCCAAAGAATTTCTTTTATTTCTCCCCCTCAATCCCTCTCTCTCTCTCTCGTATATTTCTTTCTCTTTATTTTGTTATTGCAAGATGATGAAGTTGGGAATGTTCCGAATTTATAGCACCATTTGTGAATGTGATGAGAACAAAGCGAATTGGGAAGTTACCTCGTTGCCATTGGCTTTGGCAAGGGAAGAAAGTGACATGATTATGATGCTTTCTTGGGCTCTACTTATACTTTAGAGGGACATTGATTGACATGGAAGTTTCTTGGAAGCAAGGGAGCCTAAAATACCCTTCTTTGTCAAAAAAAAAAAAGGTGCCCAACTCTATCAAAGGAAGTGTGGATACGATTTTAGAGCTTATTAAGGGTGTCCAAAATTCATGTTTATTTTATTCAATTTTACTTTTTTATTCTAAAAGAAATATTACTTCTCGTTTTAATGGTTGCATAGGCAGAATTTAGTTTATAGGGATGTTTCATCTTAATAATTATATTAATTACAAAGATGGTAATTAAATTTGTTGCGGTTTCTAGAAAAGTTTGTGTAGACTTGGTGATAGGAAATTCAAGTTCAAGGGCAGAAGAGGAGTCAGTGTGAAATTGCCCCAAAGGTGGTGGCCGTCGCTTATCCGATACGGGCCCACTAAACGTGTGCTTTATTCTCCCGTGTAATTTTCTTTGGAAAAACAATGGATTCAATCGCCAAAACTTTTCCGTTTTCTTTATCTCAATCAAAAAGAGTTCTGTAACTTCTTCCATACTCGATGAGAAAATATGAATGTGTATAGAGACCACCTTAAAACAGTTTCTTCTTCTTCTTACACAACAAGCAGCTTACTTTTCTTTTAGCACTAGACTTTTCATTTAAACAAAAATTAATATATATATATATATATATATAGTTTATTGTTAATGTTGGTTTGACTTTGATATAAATTATTGATTCTAAGAATAAAAATTACCATAACCGATGAAAATAATTATGAGTAGAAATCTTCGTTAATGTTTTTATTACAAATAAATAAATATTTTGTGGTTGGAACAATTTCTTTTGTACTGTATATTATTAAATAAAAGTTTTATAATGTTTCAAATTAGTAGGAGCTGCAAATGATCCGCAAGTTCATCAATCACTGATTGTTCTAGAATCTCTTGTTTCTATTTTCAGGAATTGCTTCTATTTTCAGGATCTTCGTTCCAGGTGTTGCTTCTATTTCTACATTTGTTTCTCACACCCTTTCCTCCCTAAAAAGAATTGAATTATTAATGATAAGATAGAACCAAGAAATAACCTTTCACTTGTGAAAAAATAGAAGATCGTTCTTCAAAACAAATAATCTCATCAAATTAAGTATGATATTTTAAATTACGAGTCAATAAATATATAACTATATACAATTAAATTAATAAGATATGAGAGAAAATTTTGTTGGAGAGCTAAGCAATGCAATCCTTGGTTACTAGTAATCACTAGTTGAGCACTCGTGAAGGGTTTTTATTTTTATTATGATGTTCATGTACAATGAATGTGTTATAAAAAAATATGTGATTCAAGGATAAATAGTTTAAGTAACGAGGTTTTATTTTAATAAAACAATAAAAATAAATGCAATAACAGTAAATTAATAAAAATATTATCATAAAAATCTAAGAAAAAATATTTTTTTTAAAAGGGGGCACATGATATAACATGAGACTGTGACAACTTAATGTTTTTTTAGGAAAACACAAAAAAAAAAAGATGATGATGAAAAAGAAGAAGTTGATGGGTAAATTTAGAATTAAAAAAAATCAAATGAAAAAAAAGAAAAAAAAAAGACATGAGTGAATTGGGGTTGACATGTCAAACCCGCAATCCAAGTTATGATCCCATTATATTTCATAAATTTTATTTAAAAATTATTTTTTATCTAAACACACAATTGGATTTTTTTCAAAAAAAAAAAGAGGGATAGTGTGTGTGCTTGAAATAAAAAAAGTTTTAATTGTTTTTTTAAAAAATTGATACCAAATAGAGGATTTTATATCTCAATTCAAATAAAAAAACTTAAAAAAATAAATGATGGAATAATTATTTTTTTAATTTTAAAGGGATGAAAATATATTAAATTTAAAAAATATTTTTTAAAAAACAAAAAGGCCATTCATTAAATTAAATAATATTCTAATTAGAAAACACTATATAAAAAAATAGTGAAAGACTTATTTAAATTTTATTGAAAATACTAACAAAAAAAATCAAATAATGAAATCAGAAAAAAAAAATTAAAAAGAATAAAAAAATCAATGGACCTAACAAAAAAGACACAATCATGCGAGAGCCAGGCATGTTAGTGTGGATTGACTTATTGTATTTTCAAAAGAACACAATAAATAAAGGAAAGATATCAAAGCCCAAAACAATTCAAGTATGCATGGTAAATCCTTGATCCATGTTAATTAAAAAAATATATAACAAAAAAATAATGATCAAAATTGATACAAAAATTCAATTAAATAAGATATCAATCGATAAAATTGAAATAAAAAATCAATAAAAAAGAATTAAAAATAAAAAAATAATTAAAAGAATGGAGATTATAATTGAAATAAATAGAAAATGAGAGGATATCTTTTAATTTTTTCAATGGATGAAATTAAAAATAAAATAAAAAAAGGTTTAAACCAACAGAATTACAACTATAATTGAAATACAAAAATAAATAGAAGGATATTTTTTTAATTTTGGATGGACAAGCTCAAATCTTGAGGCAAGAAGAGAGAAAAAAGGGGAAGAAAGAAAAATCCCTTTGGGAACCATCATGCACACACCACCTCATTTGTATCGCCTCTATTTTGGAGCTTCTAGTACCATGAAGATCAATTATTTTTCCGGATGAAGGAGACTAGATAAGCTAATTTAACTCGACGACTATCCCGCACATGCGGAGTGTGATTTTCAAGTGTCAACCCTTTTTTTATGCTCTGAAAAGACTAAACTGACCCTTATTGACATTGTTTATTATAAAAAAATTGAGGTAAGAAGTTTAAAATAGTCAAAACAATTAAGGAATTAAATCGGGTAAAAAAATTTCATTCTTTAATTTTGAAAATTTTGCAAAGAAAAAAAACAATAAAAAAATAAGGAGTAAATGTAATAGAGCTAAAACAAGGAGGGTGGAATTGAAAAAGAAACTACAATTCTAAATATCATGTTAAACCATAAAAATAGCAATTCAAAGTTCAAGAATCAAATTTAACAAAGTAAAAAAAATCAATGAGGAAGAAATTAAAACAAAAACCTAATTTAATGAATTATGTTTTTTTTTTAATATCAACTTTTTATAATACCAAGAAAGAAAACAAAGCGACTAAATAAAAAATAAATAAATAGAAGTTTAGGAGTTGAATTAGAAAATCGGGTGGGTGGACATTGACATCAAGGAAAATAGAAAAAAAAAATGATCGTCGGTGACAAACTAGATATTCTATTAATGCACGCACCATATATTTTTAAAAAAATTGTTAGGCAGAGCTAATGTTACTCTTGAAGAATTATTTTGATTGTTTTAATTAGTCACACATGTTATTTAAAAATGATGAAGCAGTTGATGATGATGCGCATGTGTTAGTATTTTTTTCATATTAAATACTTAAATAATTCCACCTCTATTTATTAATTACAAAAAAAAATCAATAAAATAACATAAATACTCTTTACTTGTTTAACATCAATGGAGTTGAGGTATTTTTACTGCGCAACAAAACTGGATATCACGAAATGGCCTTCCATTTACTTGTTTGTTTATTTTTAAATTCCAATTGTAAAAAGGCTGTTTTATTGTGCATTCATTAAATAAAAATTCAAACCTGACCCTTATTATAAGGGGAAAAAAAAATCAAAGGGTGGTGTTATAATTTAGATATATAACAAAAACCAAATTACCTGTGTTGTCAAATTGAGAACACCAAAATTATCCCCATGTAAAGATAATTATACTCTTAAATACCTGGTAAAGTTTATTTTTTCAAAGATCAAGATGGAAAAAAAATTATTGTTGTTCATAGTGACAATATGTGTTTGTGTGAATAATATATTCCCCATTTCTTTTAATTTTTTTAATTGTCATTGTATTTTATATATTATATTGATAATTCAACCACATAATGATCAATTGTGGTTTTTCGGAAACAAAATGAATGAGATATTTTACTATTAATGTTCATGTTGATGCATCTTACCATCCATTAAATGGAGAAAATATTTAATCAGCCTTTTCTCTCTCCGTTCTCACAAACAAAGCTCTCTCCCCCACAAATATTCCCTTGCTACCGCGGGTGAATCAACAAAATATATATATATATATATATAGGGTGTAGATGTATAATTTTATGAGTATTTTATTTATATCTGTTTTTCTCATGTTTCTTCGTTAATTCACGATTACTTCAACTCATTTGTAATTAATTGTACAGTGCTATAATTGTCACGATTGATATACTTTTAGTACAGATAATAAAAAAGAAAGAAGCATATCAAATAATTTCATGATTGTTTTTCGCAATAATTTAGCCGTAAACTCAAGGAGAAAAAAAGAAAAAAAACGTGTCATCGGTTTTTCAAAGTTCGAACTCTTGAAAGTCCGCGAACCAAACCCAATTTCGAGCCATATATTGGAGAATTATGCGAAGCTCGTCAATTACAGGCCCATTTCAGCACAGGTCTAATTTGATCTTTTTCCCACTAAAACAAGAAATGAAATTTCATGATTTCATTTCTTTATAGTTTTCAAACTCAGTCTAGTTTTCAAACTCAATCTAACTTAACAGATTAATTAAAAATCTAATTAATTAAAAGCTAAAACTAAATCAAATTAAAAAAATAATAATTAATGTGATGTGATTGACTTAGCTGATTGACTCGATAAGATTTAATTAAAAATTAAATATAATTTATTAACTTTTATTTTTTTATTAAAATAATATTATTTTAATTTAAAGAAATTAACCTAATAAAAAATAAATGAATTGGTCAAAGTCCATAACCGGGATCTTAAACCAAACCTGATATGAAAAATATGTATTTTGGAGGCGCTATGAACTTGTACATAAGCTTTTCTTAAATTACATAAACTCTTGCTTTGCTCTGTTGTCGTATAAGAGGATATGATTTTGAATTTGTTTAATTTGAGAAGTTACTCAAGGCCTTCCGGAA